CCACCTGTTGAGAACAACTTCAAGAAAGTTGTTAAAACCTGGCTTTGAAAGACAGCCCTGAGAGCGGAGGCGGCATGAGCAGCCGGCCCCTTTCGATCTCTGAGCGTTCCTTGGATGCTGGGGCTTTTTATAGTTCTAGCTGCAACTGTGAATGGTTATTTTCTTCTATTGATTTCTTTTCTTTTTCTTACTAATTTTCTTAGTTAACAAGGGGAAGGTAAACCACTCTGGCTAGTGGCATAAAATCCCAGGAAATGCAACGCGATGCCACACGGTCCTCTTCTGAGAGCTTCCCAAATCCCAGCTCTTCGTCCTCGCGTCAGTTTTCCTCCCCCTGAAATAACGGGCCCCTCAGCCCACGGCCTGGGCTGCCCTCTGGCTAATGCCCCCCACCTCCTTGACTGTGCTGCCCTTGCCGGCTTCACCTGAACGCTCGTCCCTTCCTCCCACCCGGCCTCTTGTTTACTCTGGGTTGTGCCACGGGGAGGGATGAGGAAGAGAAAGTTGAGGGTTCACTCCTGGTTCCAGCTTTGCACAACACTGGTGTCAGCAATCATGGCAGCTGCACGGTTTTGCAATCGACCCTTGGAGGGGGCTGCTCCAGGATCTCCCAGATGTATCTGAAAGCTTGGTGTCTTGCCTTCAGGAATCCACCAGATTTGAGGGGTACCTGAACAACCCGTGCACCAGCCAAGTTCCAGTTCCAGACTGGGCCAACTTGAGGCTTCTCCCCTGGAGGTCCCCATCCGCCCCTCCTCCGCCCCCTCCGGGTTTGGGGTTCTGCTTTCCATCCGCACCGAGAGTCGGCTGGCTCTTTCCCTCTGGCACGCCCCTCCCCAGCAACTTCCTATCTGCAAATATATTGCAACATCTCCCTCTTCTTCACTTTTGACAGATCTCCCTCCCTGCTCGTAATGTTTGAAATGAAACCAGTGTGTGATGATTCTGAGGGCAGGGCAGGGCAGGGCAGGGCAGGGTCCACCCACCCACCCACCGCGAGCGCATCATACACAGGATGGAAGAGCTTCCTCTTGGGTCCTTAAGGGCGCAGGTCCTTGGGGCCAAAACCTCGTGGGTCGTCCTTCTGGATCTGCCCACCTTTCCTGTCCAGGCACAGAGCTGCTCCTTTGTGGCCTCTGGACACCAGAGCTTTCTCCGTGGGGCTGCCCAGAGGCAGGATGCCTCCTGGACCCCGCGCTTCCCTCCCCTTTCTCAGAAATTCAGACAGACTTTTGGGCTTGATGTAGATGATCCTGTCTAAGCAGTCTCAGCTGCTATTGCGTTTTGGTCTTTATTTCATCCTGTCTCAGCATTCCTACCAGTTTAGGAGTTTCAGGTTCATTCCGTCGCTGATGTGCTTTCTAATCCCCAAATCCTTTGGCCATAAATAAATCCCTTTCTCCTGAAGGTGCAACAACACTAATTTACTGATTTTACCTCCAACAGATGACTCTTTTCCGATTTTTACTGAAAATTATTTTACATGATCCTGTGGTGTTTTCCTCCAGAATGTTTTATTTGTTGTTCCCGTAAGTCAGAAGCAGGGGTGTCCATGGGGGGAGTTAAAAAGGTCAGGGTGGTGACCATGACCACACAGTTGAAATCCCCGCCCCCAAATTTAATTTTTGCAATGCCTGTAAAAAAGGGGCAGGTTTAATTGTGCAGCTGCAGCTTGTTTCTAGGCCTGCAGCCCCATCTGCAAGGCGGCAACCCCGCCTGAACGGCTCAGAATGGCCCCTCCTCCCCAAGGGAAATGGGCCTTGGGGGCCGCCCAGCTCTTCTTGGGACCAGCGCCTTCCCAAGCAGCTTCTGAGGAAGCTTCAGCCCCAAATGAGCAGCTCACTTCCACTCCTTTTACTCCCAGGCTCTTGGGTGCTCTTTGGCACCCTCAGCAAGGGACAGAGCCGAAGGGCTGGGCGGTGGTGGGCCTGCTCTCGAGAAGGATGGCTGGCACTAACTGGCACACTCAGCCCTCCCCTCCACGCAGGCCAAACAGCCCCACACCGAGAACACACAAGCGAGTGCCGGGGACGGGACTTCTGCTGACGGCTTTTGTGTCCTTCGAGAAGAACTGTCCAGGCCAGGGCTCTGCCTCCATCCCTGAGTGCTGAGGACACGGACATGGGTGACACGCAGTCCCTCCAGCTCCATTTTGCATGCCCCCAGATCACACGGCACAATTCAGCGGCAACATAGCCTTTCCTTTCTTTACTAAGAAAAAAAAAGTGTGGGGGGAGGCACTTTGCCTGAAGTAGCCAAACTGACACAGAAAAATGGTCCCCAAGTTCAAAGGAGGCTAGCTGATGTCTCCCAGATGCTCACCATTTCACCAGCTCTCTGAGAAACTGGTGGCTTTTGCACTGAAATGAAATGCCAAAGAAAGATACGGGTACAGTGAAACTGCCCGTTGCTGACTGGGTTACCTGTCTGGAGGAGATGGCCATGCCGGAGCCTCTTGGCAGCACCTGAAGTTTCAGCACCTGCTATTTGGCCTATTTGATCCCAGTGCTGCTTTTGAAATTCCAGCTCTCAGGATTTGGGAGGCGTCGGTGCAGCTCCTAAGCACCTGGCCATCCTTGGCTTGGTTTGGAAGCAAGAGAGAGCTGGAGCTGGTGAATATTTGGGCGGGAGATGGGGAAGCTGAAAAACATGCTAGCAGGAGGCAGAAAAAGCCGGCTTTATCTTCTTGCCAAAAAAAAAACCTGCAGGAAGGAGCGGGAACAAGGGCATCTTTCACTTCTCTACCTAAGCCAGAAGTCTACTTCTTTGAGAAGACAAAGGGTTAATGAGATAGATAGGAACTATTTAGACAACCTCTGAAACGAGCAGGAATGTGAAGGATTGCTTTAAAGAATGTGAAATAATTTTATCTTAAGATGTTCAACAGACGTTTTTGTTTTGGCTACACTGAGCACCTCAGAGAACGTTTAGTTCAGGTTGGCTGCAATCGCCTTGCTGTGGAGAAACGGCTCAGGAGTGGGAGTGTTGACCCACCCGGCCTGGTCTTGTTGCACCAGCCACACACCATGAACTGGAATCCACAAGAGAGCCCGCGAAGACTTCAGACTGTTGATTTCAGGCTAAGGAAGCACGCATCTACAGGATTCATGAATTGCAGGCTTTGTAGATCTGGTCTGGTCAAAGGAATGATTACAGAACGGGGGCTATCACATCTGGGCAACAGAAACCCAGATGACCGTGGAGGGCCGATTGCTGCCAGCTAATGGTTGTCTGGATTTTTGCAGCTTATTTTTGGCCACTTGCATTTGCAGATATCCATAATCCCACAGGTCCTTCTATAGCAAGGCAGGCAGGCTGGCACAGGGATTCATCGTCCGGGCTTTCACTGGGAGGTGGGAAGACAAGCTGCTTCCAAAGGACACACTTTTTCCCACAGCCAAGCGCGTCCCCTCTTTGCTTGGACAAGGCAAAACTACCTTTCTTTTTTCCCAGCCAATAATTTACTGTATGTTATATTTCTGATAATAACCCAATTACTAAAATTCTTTGAAGTAATAAGAAGTTACTAAAACAGTAAGAAACAGAAGAGGTAAACAATAGAACCCAATAAATAAACCACATAAGAAACAGCAGAAAAGCTACTATCCCAGTATAGTTGAAGGCATTTACATCTTTATTTTATTAAATTTATTATGGCTGCCCGCTCCATAAAGCACAGAACGACGTGCCTGTACTTTCTTCCTGGGGCAAGGAAGCCCAACGCTGAAAGGACATCAGCGGGGAAGCCAGGCGGGGTTCCCCGGGAGCAGCAAGCACAAGCAGGCCTTCTGTGAGAAGGCGCTCTCCCTCGCAGCCTCCCTCTGCGTGCCGAAGAGTCTCTGGTGACAGCGTGGGATGGCAGAGGCATTCCGTGAGATACGCAGGCCCCAAACCCTTCGGGAGCCCACTGGCAACCAGGAACCGCGCTGCCCGCCGAAAGCAGCACCAGCTCCTCTGCCTTTGGACAGCTTGCCTTTATCTATCTGATCCACCAACTCTCCGATGAGATCTGCCCATTTACAGGGCCCCAATCCAGGCCCTCCTTTGCTCTGAGCGTCCTGCTGCTGGAGACAGATAGGCCAGCTGCCTTCCGCACTGTGGCTGCCGTGGCTCAAACGGCCCTCCCCATCCACCGGGCCAAAGGGATCTGCAGGGCAGCCGTCTACCTCACGCAGCACTTCTCTGGCCTAAACTGAATCCTCTGTCCCGTCCCCATCTTTCTTAACCAGAGCCAGATCCCAAAAGGTTATTTTGTCTTCTTCAACACCATTAAGCAGCTCCTGGGCAGCTGAAACCTATTAAAGCCACCAAAAGCTGCCTTGAAGAGCCTCAAAACATGCCTTCATCTACTGTTTACTGGAGTACCATTTTTGTACCCAGCTCCCCAGCCCTGTGCCAGACTCCTCCGCACTGCCCAATTTAAAGGACCTTTCCCCACTATTCTCCCCACTGCCAGAGGAACATTCCTCACACTCTCACCTTCTCATGGAGGGCTCCATGATCAGCTTTGGTTGTCAGTAGTGAATTCTCGCATCAAGGGATGCTGACATGGAGGGTGAGTCTATTCATCCCTCAGCAGCCTGAAAATACTCCCCCTGACAATACATTTGGTTGGCAAATGAAATGATCAAATATCTATATTCTATCGCAGGTTGGGCAACTTTGGGAGGATAAGGGCCACAGAAGAGGTGGAGCTATGTCAAGATGGGGGGGCAGAGATGGGAGGCGCTTCTGTGAGTTTTGCTTCTAACTGTGATGGTCTATTTTAGAGCTTGAGCTACAGTTTTCTTGTTTCACAAACTGGTGGGAATCTGGGCCATCCCTTTTCAGCAATCATAACCAGCAAACCATTTGAGGGCAGGGGCCACTGCAGCTCTTGGACTTTACACTGCCCACCTCTGCTTTGTCAACGTGCCCTACACGAGGGGTGAGTTTCACTGGGAAATCCCTGGATTCATTTTGTAACCAAAATCTCAAAGAGGCAGACAGAAAAACAGGGCTGACAACAACTTAAATGGTTTATTAAACAGCAGCTGAGAACCCAAACCAGAGCCCAAACACAGAGGCTGGTCCTGGGCTCAGGAGACCATTCATCCTAAAGCTGTGTAGGAACTCAGCGGAGGAGCCTTGTGTGGGAAGAGCAAGGCTTGTTCTTAAGCCACAGTCTATTCCCGATGTCCCAAAGTGAGGGAAATCCCTGGAAAGCAGACTTGGAAAATTGCAGCTCAACTCCTTTTCCTTCAGGACAGGGCATTCAAACCACCCTTGCAGGACACAGAAATTATGTTGTGTTGTTGGCATAAAGTCCTGGAAGGTGCGGCAGGTTAAGCAGTGGAAGGTTTACCAAAGCTTCTCTCCTTGAAGCTGCAGAGAGCTTTCTCTGCATTTGCAAGGTCATGTAATTAAGAAAAAGGCACTAGCATCCACAGTATCAAAATATAAAAATATTGCCTTCATTTAAGGAAAAAAAGGAGTGTAAAATTAGATGAATGCCATGGTATTCAAGTCCAGAATGGCAAATGGGACAGTTAATTCCTGGAAAACGAGAGCCTTGCATTTTTCAGACTAGAATTCCTGGAAAATGGCACGAAAGCACTTGATCTCAGTTCATTCCACATGGATGGGATCCCGCCCCATTTGTCCCCAGAGCTCCTGCCCAAAGTCTTGGAAGCACGGCTGGGCCTACGTTTCACAGTCTTCCCCTGGTCCCTCCATCCTCCTCTCTACAGGAGACTCTGTGCTGCTGCAGCACCTTGCAGAGAGGGAGCCCAAGGCCAAGCGTCTGAGCTTCTTTAGGTGGAAGCGGTGGGACCTGGATTTCAGATGAGCTGCCAACGAGAGAGTCGTTCAGAATATCTGTTGCTCCAGAAATGACAAACGACCTTGTTTTTCTAAATAAAACTGTACAAATCTTTTACCATACATGGGGGTGCAGACCTATTCTGCATAATAGTGGGGTTCTGCAGCCTTCAGAGAAAAAACACTGCCTTTGGTTCAGCTTCCCAGAGGAAGATATCTATCTGAAAATCCATTTATTCTGAATTTAAAGTGATCCAGAGAGACTGGTTAATATCCAAAACCTGCTACAGAGTGAGCTTGGCTTTTGGCAGAAGGATCCTGAGAAGGCAGGTTGAACTGCCCTATTGTAAAATGTCAAGTATTTTCCACCCAAACCACACTCAGTTTCCTGCAACTGGAAAATTGGCACACAGCACAGTACAACCCAAGCAACAGCTAGGGCCTGGAGTCCTATAGGTAAGGCTGAATTAAGCAAAAGGGGAATCTTGATGCGACAGAGGAGGAAGGGGGCTGACTATGGGAACACCATTTCTGAATGCTGCCTGTGGAGGAAGAGCAACACAAATAACATCCAAGCCCTTCAAAGAAAAGGCCCAGCACAGTCCATGCATGCTTTCTACTATAGGGACACTTTTGGGAAAAATACCAGGGCGTGGGGAGGGGGGCAAATAATTGAAAAATATGATTCCTACCTACAACCTGTTGATACATTTCAGCATCTCATTCTGCTCTGTTTGCAAACCAGCACTAAGTTCCATTTAAACTTATATTAAAAAAATCTTAAAACAACAATCAGGAGGAATCTGGTAGTACCTTTTCAGACTAACACATTTTATTAAAAGGCAAAAGGATTTGTGAACTGCCACTCACTTCATCAGATGCATGGAGTAGCTAAAACAAGAACTGTGGCTCTTTTAAGGAACATTGAGAGAATCTTTGTACTGCGTTCACATCTTGTTTTCTTTTTAGCTAAGAACACTCCAGAAAGATGCTGCTTTCACCTTTGGTAGCAATTGGTTCCCAACTCAGTTTCCCATTATTCTGCTCGGAAGGGAACAGCTCCTCCCCCCCGTCCCAAAGTAGATTCTTACAGGATAAGATTTAAGGCAGAGCCTGGCCAACTCTGCCAGTGAGGGTGGAGGCCGTGCCCCAGCCCATGCCACTGCTGTCTCCTCTTCCCTTTGTTTGTGGAGGTGATTGGTTTTGCTGTTCCGCCAGCAAAGAGGAGGGGGAGGGGGGTCAAGGGAGAGGCTGAGAGCCCACGACAGATGGTCACTTGGAGCACGGCTTCCACAGCCCACCTCCCAGCTTGCCAAGCTGCTGCCTAAACAAGCGAGTGGTAGACAATCCTGCAAAAGCCGGTCACGTGACACAAAAGTTGTGGTGATCTTTGGGGAAGGAGGCCCTTGTCCAGGCTGCTGGGGCCATTCAGCTCCTGCTTTGTCCTCTTCCCCACCCACGGCAAGCTTTACCTCTCCATTCTCTGTCCCCGATGATGACTCTGCTGCACAGCTCACACAACTGGCAATTCTGCTTGTCCTTTCCCGGTACTGGCTCCAGCGTGAGGGGCTCCCTTAGAGGCTTCTGCCCCTGGGGTGGGGGGGAATGACACACAGCAGAGAGAGGCATGCCACAGGCAAAGAGGACTTCAACCTGTCCTCTCTGCTCCTTGAAGGGCAGCAGAGCCTCAGAGCTGAAGACCAAGAGAAGCCAAGCCCCCGCCCTCAAAGAGAAGCTCCTGGCAGGCTCCGAGTTCTGTGATTCAGAGACTGACTATGCAATTACTAACAAGTGCTCACGGAGCCTTGGCTGGTCATTGGGTGCCAGGGCTGATGCTCCCATCATGCCAGCTTTGTCCCAGATCAGCAATGCTCCAGATGACAGCTCTTTTACTGTATGGGACCTTCAGTTCCCCTTCCTCTGAGCAAAACCAGGTGAACCTGTCTTATTTCTCCATTAAGCATGCTAGAGTTGGGAGGCCCAAATCCAGAGTTTCAAGACTGTTATTAGGATCATCCAAATGGCAAAGAAGGCAAGGAAGGTTTGCCTCCTTCAGAACTCTTTATCAAGCCTGTTGGTGCTAAAAGCAGAACACAGGGCAAAAGCAGAAGAGTCCAGAAGCCTGGCCAGATGTTTTGGCCATGAGGTCTGCACTTCAGTCTCAAGACGAGGTTCGGGGCCAAATGCTTTAAACCAAGGGAAGGTGTTACCTGCCATTCAGGGGCAAGGAAACAGTGTTTCTGCTGGCTCTGAAAACATGAAGACTAATTCTTCCATTTATCCCCTGCCCGGGGGGGTATTCTCACTCTCCTGTTCCTGCCCCATCCTTCTTTTTTGCAGGGATGGGGTAATGTCTTGCCTAAGGGAGATACTGAAAAACTTTGCTGGGTCTTTCTGGTTCCCCAGAGCTGCCCACTCCCCACCTCTAAGGGCTCCTCCATTCAGGGCAGGACACACACTTTGCGAGACAAGGTGGCCTCAGTTCTAGACACAGTAGGTGCTCCAGGCCAAGGGGCCCTGGGGACCCAGCAGGAGAGTCAAGAGGGCAGCTGCCAGTCAGAACAGGCAATCGTTGACAGGCTCAAAGTGTGCTGGGAAAACCCCCCTTCAGGGCGATCTGGTGGTTACCTTCAAGAAGCTCTCCACAATCTGGACAGCAGGTTCCAATACATTCTCATCCCACTGAGAGAGATCAGACACTTCCAAACCATAGACGGGGGGCACATTTGATCCAGGACCTGGAGGGCCCCATAAAAAAGAGCATCATCAGGTTTAGAAGCAGACAATGCTTATCCTTGTGATCCCAGTAAAAGTAGTAGGAAGGGTCAGTAAGGTGTAGTGTTTGGGGGGGGCTAAGGGTGTGCTGAAAGGGGGAGCTATGCTGTGAATATTAGGTAGAGTTGCCCCCCAGCAGTTTGTAGAAACTGACTGAGCCTGCCCCCAAAGCAGAAACTGGCTGAGGGCACACCCTGCCCCCCCCAGCTTCTCCCTACTCTCCCTGCCAATGGGCCCCCTGTATAAGCCACCAAGAGACTAGCCCTGGGCCGAGGGGGCAGTGCTTCTTCAGCCATAAGAGGACTGGACCCTCCCCCTTGTGCCTGTTCAGAAAGACGTGTTTATCCTGATTCGTGTGTCTCTTTCAATCTGAGTGATGCATTATTTTACTTTTTTAATCTACTACATTGCTCTATATAGCCGGTCACTTAGCTGATATTATGTGGTTTCTATACACAGTGAGGAGGAAAAGATGCTGGTCACCCATGGCTGGGGCTGTATGGAAACAGCCTGGGGGGGGGGGGGGGGGAGGGGTTTCCAGAAGGATTACAGTGAGCTAGTAACTGTGGCATCTCAAGGAGGCAAACTTTCTGCTTTAAATAACAGACCAGGGGCAGGAGAGCCAGACGCTGCTCTTCTGAATCCTGCCCCCGACGCAAGGCAGTGCAGTGCGGCTGTCTGTCCAGAGTCCAGATCACAGGAGAGGGTGCAGTTCTCTCTCAAGGCGGTGACCCGCACCTGCCAGTTGGCAGGCTGACTCTAATAGCAGCAAGACAATGGGCCTCCCAGTGCCAAAATCTGAGCAGGTGATGCCTTTGATTGCCCTGACCACAAAGCCTGGCTCAGGCCACACCTGTCAGCTGCCTGGCAGAGAAGCGAGCGTGGGCTGCTCAGCACCTGCCCCGGGAAAGGCACTGCCACGGGCCCAGTCTGCCTCCTCTCCGCTCCGCTCTGCGGGCTCTGTGCCGGCTCCATGCCTTTCTCCTGAACCCCCCAAGAATCCTTCAACTAGCGCTCCCCCCAGCTGCCAGCTCTGGCTCCCCTCCAAGCCTGGGGTGAGGTGGGATGGTCCAGCGGGGGAGGGGGGAGAGGAAAGCAGTTTCATGCCCCTCTGGCAAGGAGCCCGCTGGATCTGGGAGAATGGCTGTCAGTTGGGGCATCTCCCTCCATCTGGCCCAAGAAGGAAAAGCCAGAGTGAACACGAGGGTCCCTTCCCTGGCATCGCTTGCTTCGCCACCCGCCCTTGGGTATCTTAAATGGCTGCAGAAGAGCAGCTCCTCAGGCACGGCTAGTCTGGAATAGAGCCTTTCGGAGGGTAGGCACTCTGCACAGGCTTAAAAGAACTCCAGCCTTTACCATTGTTGCCCGTTTCCCAGAACAGAACCCTGGCACTTGAGTGACTTGCAGAGCAAGCTTTGGCTCAGATTAGCGTGCCCGGCATGCCACAGATGCCAGGAGGCCAAAGAAGAGAAGAGGCGCCTGCCTCTCTCCCGGCCAGCTGAGCAAAGGAGCAGCAGGGACTTACGCCTCAGGAACCGGTTCTGGACCCACTTGTTTTGCTTCCGGGCGTACCTCTTGGTCACCGTCCTGAAGGCCTGAATGGCTGAAAGAGTTCAGAGAAAGGTCACAGTGGAGCCGCAAGAGACTGGCCCTGGCAGGGAGTACAGTCGCGCCAATACAAGCTGGTTTCCCAGTGGTGTGGGGAAGGCACCGTGAATTCTTTGCTCGACACCCCATTTATTTCCGCTGACCCAGCCGCATTTCAGAGTGTTGGAAAATGTGTTCCACCCCCCAGAACGTGCATTCGCCTGTTACACCAAAGGCTCGCCTAATTCTCTGGCCTGCCAATCAAGCATATCCACATCCTGCTCCCCAGAAATGCCTTTCCCCCAAACAGATCCTCACCTTGGTCCAGCAACTGGCGTCTCACCTCCTCTGGACTCTTGTCCTCGGAAATCAGGTACTGGTGGAATTCCTTGAAGCCAATGGACTGGAAAATGCCCTGCTGATAATCCTGGCTGGGGAAAAGGAGCGAGAAGTGGGTGACCAACATTTCCTGCATGCGGCTGTTGACCACTAAGGCGGAATCTGGCCTCCTGAGCCCCCGCTGTGATCCATGCATCCCATCTGAGGCCAGCTCAGTCCTTCCGAAGGAGGAACGGGCTTGGTTTGCTGTTCTCCACCCTCGCCAGAGTCCACCTCCCAAGCAGGACCAAGAGGCCTCACCTGTTCTCAGCCACTCTCTCCTGGTTGTATTGCCGGTGAAAGTTCTGCAGCTCCTCCAGCAGCCCAGCCTCCAGCATCACATCCACCCGCTGGTCCAGTCGTGCCTCCAGAACTGAGGGAAACCCAGCAGATGAAAAGGTCAGGTTGCAACCTACGAAGGCTCTGGGAGGTTGACATAGGTGTCAGCTCCACAGTCACACTCAGCAGCACATGCGCAGAGAATGGCTGCAAGCCACACAACTTGACCACAAGAAAAAAACTGCACGTGTTTCCAGAAGGACCTGCACGGTCATGCTTCTCAACCTCCTTCAGCCACCCTCACCAGATCCTCCCTCTTCCTTACCTGCCTGTTCTGCGTAAAGCCACAAGATGCAAGGGTTGGGATACTTCAGGGGCCCCCCCAATGGCCCTCCCCCTTTTTCCTCATGCTGCCGTCGCAGCAGCTCACTGTGGGGGATTCCTGTTTGTTCAAACAGCTGCAAACTCCTACAGGCACGAGAGGGAGAGAGTGAGTTTTAGGGAGTGTCAGCTTGGAGGGCACTCAGCCACAGCCACCTCAGGGCAAAGAATGGCACCAGATCAGAACCGAAAAGGGAAAAAGTGCCAGAGAATGACGCGCTTGCAGAAACAGCAAGACCATACCTGGTCCTTGCTGAAAAGAAGGACAACACTGATCTGGTGGGCAATGTCCACCAGTGGGAATCCCTCCAAGCCACCTGGAGGAATGCAGAAACCCGGAAATGCTCCAACATTTTCGCTGAGCGCTGCAGGAGCTCCAAAGAGGCTGCCACTGACTCCCGCAAGTGGGGGATGGGCAGATCAGAAGCACATCAATTCCAGGCAAAAGCATCAGGACTGAGGAAGTTTCGCGCTCCAGAAGCCCAGAGACTCTCCACTGTGCCACAAAAACAATGCGCCCTTAGCTAGAGCCTGAGCCATACGTTAGGTTCCTCCTCCCTCCAAACCGTGCGGCATTTCCCAGCCTTTGGGATACAGTTAGAGTTAGTTCCTTATTCCCAGATGGGCAGAAGTTCAGGCTTGGACAGCAGCAACAAATGGGCTCTCTCCTTAGAGTGATTGGGGGCTGCAGTTACTCCAGCCCAGGGACTGCCTGGGACTGCATGCTCTGCTAGAGAGGCCCTCAGTCTGCCTCAGGCCATCCTTGCAGGGCAGCCCAGCCTTCTCAATCTGGCACCTCCAGACTCTGAGTGGAAGAAGAGCTCTGCCACAATGTGTCTACAGGGCACCACGGGGGAAGTGAGGAGAGCCCAGAGCAGGCTCTCAGCATCATCAGCTCCTTCTTCAGGCTGCTATGCCCAGCCTTGACTGCCCCCAATCTCAGTTTTTCCCAGAGCAAATCAGAACGAAATCTTGGGGCTACTGAGGAAGGTCTGCCCTTGCCCCACTCTAAGTGAGCAGGGCAGGGGCTCCTCCGGCCGTCTCCCAGGCAGGGCAGGGTTGGGAAGGTTGGGTAGAAGAGCAAGCCAGGGCCGGTCGCAACCTGCTTCCCACGCAGCCAAGAAGCCACTCTCCTGGTAGGGCAACTCCAGCTTGCACAACCGGTGCAAAACCCAGAGCAGCCACCCTGCCCAGCCCAAGATTCGCTTCCCAGGTAGCTTGAGCATGACAGAGCTGCTGCCCTCAAGGCAAGGGGGTGCTGCTTGCTATGGGCCAGAGAGGAGGCTCTGAACTGGGGTCACAGGAGATTGGCTCCAGCCTCGATGCTTCAGGATCACATGGGGGCTTCCTGGGGGGAGCGGAGGAGCATGTCCACAAATCAAGAAGGCAGCTGTGATCACATAACTGAAGCCCTGTTCCATTTTTACGTGCAACAGATGCAATTGACTGTGTGACCACAATTGCCATCTCGACTTTCTTGACCCCCCCTTGGGTCCCTCTGTGATCACAGCTGTTGGGGACTGCTGGCACAGGGTGCTAAGGGGCCTGGGAAGCTCCTGGCAGAGTTTAGGGATACCAACTCAGGGCCATGCCAGACGTGTCTTCAGGCTGTGGTCAAGATGATGGCCCAATCAAAGGTCCACCCATTTTTTATGTGGCTGCCATCTTGACTTTTTTTTACCATATCCTGCAGACCCCCTCCGGCCACAGCCGTCTGCTTGGGTGACTTTGGAACAGGACAGGCACTTTATAGTGGGGGTGGATGGCCTCTTTGCCCCCCCTCTTTTCAGCAGCCAGCAATCACAGGGGACACAGCAGCCACATTCCCCCAGAGGGCAGGCTGGCAATGTTGACCCACTTCTCTCCGTTATATTTTTAAAAGAAGCTGAAGAACTGCGCTAAGCCTGCAGGAGATAAAAACCACAACTTTGCTTCTCATTTTTCAGAAAAGTTGCTCTGCTATCACTCGGCATCTGTTACCAGGTATCAGAGGGCAATTGAGGTGGGCTTTCAGGCTGTAAATGAAAGGATTGGTGGGGCCACACAACCAACAGGTACGCTCCTGACCAAGAAAGTGTGAACTAAAATGGGGAATAAGTTTTTCCAAAGACTATGACCCACAGCAATTAAACAGAGTCTCCATCACCAGAGGAACTCTACCATGGGGGGACAAGCGGGAGGCGAGAGTGGGTCTCTCTCCCCCCAGCCTCTGGAGTGCTAAGGGCATTTGGGGAACAAAATGCTCTTCCAGAGGAACCTGCAGGTCTAATTCTCTGTCTGGGGTCTGTAGCATTTGGAGAGCATTGGCTCTCCCTGTTGCTGGCTCCATTTCTGTGGCCTCCAGAAGGGTGAGTGGGAGCCTGTCCTTCCCCCACTATCAGCTGTTCAACTGACCTGATTATTTTGCGCTTATTATGGGGGTGCAGTTTGGCTGCCATGATAGGGTCCACCAAATTCAGCCGGTGGTGGAGCTCTTGACTCTCCAGATTCTCCAGCTCAGCTTTCCACTCTGCAGTTGCCACTGCCGACTCTGGACCCTTGCCTTCCCCCTGGAAAGAGGATTACACACAAGACAGATCCCCCAAAGTATGACAAGTGCTTTCAGAAGATAACCTGTAGCTAGGTTTCTTTCTGCTAAGAGCAAAAGGTCCAGAAAGGATGTTGGACTCAAAAGGGAGATCTTGCATCCACCCACTAACATTCCAGCACTGCCCACCTCTAAGGAGGACATCCTGCTTGCAAGCAGAACACCAGCTGAAAGACCCAGGCGGAAAGGGAGGAGAAAAAGCTGAACAAATCATTAACACTACCAACAAATAAATCAAGCAATATAAGGAAAATCTCAGACTATTGTGCAGTTTGGGGAGAAAGATTATGCTATAAAGATGTGACATTTTTACAACCAAAGGTTTCTGCAGGCATTCAGAAAGGGCAGGGTTCTGCATCATTTCTTGACTACAGAACTGCTGGGCCTGGACTGCACATTTAGACTAAATAAATAAATAAATAATTTAGAGGAAGGAAGGAAGGAAGGAAGGAAGGAAGGAAGGAAGGAAGGAAGGAAGGAAGGAAGGAAGGAA